CTGCAGATGTAGATCAGTTGTAGAATTCATGCATGCAAAAGGTTCAGTCCTCAGCCTCATTCAATCAAAAAGTTAAACTATTATACCAGCACAGGGGCCAGCACAGTAGCTGGACAATGGTAAAGGCTCAACAAAGTGTACAACAATTAAATAAAAACCATACCAGAAAACATTCAGTTACTACCTTATATGGCCATATAATCCTTGTACGCTTTTCAACCTCTACTTGAAATGCTAATTTCAAGATGAAAGATAAAGTTGCCGTAGAAGTGATAGCTTCTGAAGCATCTTGATTTATTGCTCTGGACACTTTTCTTTTGCCAAATGAGTTTTAAAGTGTTACCTTTTATTATATAGAGAATCATGGTGTTTTGTTATTTCTTCGTAATTAACTCTTGAGATCACATTGTGTTTACTTTTTGCTTACTAATATTAAGATGTTTCCACATCATCAGTCTTTTGACCATCTCAGGGTGGGATAGGAACATGTTTTACTTTTTTGTTCCAAGTGAGGGAACAAATAGGAATCTTTTATGTCCATCTATCTCTACTCTTGGGGCCAAAGCCACCAGTGATCATGTACATGCATGCATGGGACACTAGTTCAGATTCTCTGGTCTGGGCCATAGGGAAGAGAAGAGGGTTAAGGTTATAATCTATAATATACCTCTTGGCAAACCTGTTAACATTATCTCATTAGAGCCATATCTTAACTTGTTCACTTGGAAAAGTCTGTTTATACCACCCCCTTCCCAATAGCTCGTCTTAAACTTGGGCAATGCAAAAAGTGAAGGCATCTTATTACCACCACTACTATCACCATCATCATCAACAACAATACTACTGAGCACTGGTGGCTCATGCCTGCAATCGTAGCTTCTCAGAAGACTTGAGATCTAGAGATAATAGTCTGAAGCTAGCCTAAGCAGGAAAGTCTGTGAGGCGCTTATCTCTGATTAACCATCAAGAAGCTGAAGTGGAGCTGTGGCTCAAATGGTAGAGCACTAGCCTTGAGTGAAAAAGCTAAGTGGCTAGGTCCAGTGGCTCATGCCTATAATCCTAACTACTCAGGAGGCTGAGATCTGAGGATCATGGTTCAAAGCCAGCCCGGGCAGGAAAGTCCATAAGACTCGAGACTCTTATCTCCAATTAATCACCAGAAAAGTAGAAGTGGTGCTGTGGCTCAAGTGGTAGAGCACTTGCCTTGAGCTGAAGAGCTGAGGGACAGCGCCCAGGCCCAGAGTTCAAGCCCCACAACTGGTTTAAAAAATAAGCTAAGGGTCAGTGTCCAGGTTCTGAGTTCAAACCCCAGGACCAACACAAACAAAACAATACTATCTAACATTCATAGCAATTCTGTTTGAATTGTTCTATATCTATTAATACATTTAATATTAGTATGCCATTTTACAGAAAAGAAACCTGAGGCAGCGTGAGATCAGTGAACTTGAACAAGGAAACACAATAACTGTTTGAACTGGTTGGTTTTGAGTTTAGGCAGTCTGGCTCAACAGCCCACCCACGGTCAGAACTGGTTTGTTTTGCAATTTGCAGGAGAAAATTCCCTCTCTCTGTCTCTCTCTGTCTCTGTCTCTGTCTCTGTCTCTCTGTCTCTCTCTCTGGGAGATAAAATGCAGGTTCTCTCTGTGTTGTCATGCTGTCTCCTCCCTTCCCTCTCTTCCTCCCACCTCCTTTCTCCTGTCTTCTCACTTCCCTCCCTCTTTTTATAATATACCAAATGTGGTTGCAGCTGGGAGCCCTACAAGCTGTTGTCGGTCAGTGGTGCCACCAAGTGGTCATTTGTATGTATTGCATCTTTTCATAATTTTAGAATAACCCACTCTTGCCCCAGTTATCTCAAACAAACTATACTCCAAATTAGCATGCTGTCGTGCTGGTGGCTCACACCTGTAAACCTAGCTACACAGAAGGCTGATATCTGAGGATCGCTGTTCGAAGCCAATCTGGGCAGGAAAATCCATGATGACTCCAATTATCCACCAGAAAGTTGTGGCTCAAGTGATAGAGCACTTTTCTTGAGAAAAAAGGCTCAAGGACAGTACCCAGACTCTGAGTTCAAGCTCCACAATTGGCTGGCACACACACACACACACACACACACACACACACACACAGCCAATGTGTGCCAGAATAGTCTTGGAGATACAAGTTTGTTTCCAGGAATATCTCATTTTCAACCCCTCTTTTCCTGTATAAGGGGAAGAATTGTCTTTTCTAAGTGGTTACATTGTATTTTAAACCTCCTTTCAGCCTCCCAAATTATTACTCTGTTGCTTATGTCTACCTTTTTTTTTTTTTTGGTTGGTTGTGGGCCTTGAACTCAGGGCCTGGGCGCTGTCCCTGAGCTCTTCAGCTCAAGGTGAGCGCTCTAGCACTTCAGCCACAGTGTCACTTCCAGTTTTCTGGTGGTTAATTAGAGATAAAGAGTCTCATGGACTCTTTCAACGGATGCTCACGGATGCTTTCAACCGTGATCCTCAAATCTCAGCCTCCTGACTAGCTAGGAGGCGTGAGCCACCAGTGCCCGTCCACTTATATCTATCTTCTGTTCCTTCTTCAGTTTACATTTCAGGGGTGCCTTTTTCCAATTAACCCTATATATAAGCCCTGGGTTGTTCTGAATAACAGAAAAGAGAGGGGGGAGGGAGGGAAGAAGGGAAAAAAGAGAGAGGGGGAGAGAGAGGGAGATGAGAGAGAAGGAGAGATAGGAGAGAGGGAGAGGGAGAGAGAAAAAGAGAGTGGGAGAGAGTGAAAGGAAGAGGAAGGGGAGAGAGTGAGAGGCAAACAAACTTCTCTTTGAACTATTACTTTGGACATACCTTCTCAAAGAAGAGTTCCCTTAAAAGAATTTCTTTGCTTCAAAGCCTCAATTGTTGGGCTGGAGGGTAGCTCGGTGGTAGAGTGTATGCTTTAGTATGTATGATAGATGGAGCCATCCCTAGAGCCCACTGTGTGTGTGCACACAATATACACACACATAGATGAAAACAAAGCAGAACCCCTCAATTCTTTTTAGTCTCTTTCTGAATTACGTACACATCTCAGTTCAACATTTGTGATCCTTCAAATTTGGCCTCATTTCAATCTCTGATATTGTCTCCCAGATTCCCCTCTACTTCCCATGCTGTTGCTGTAAAGTGACAATGCTTTCAGGACCCTCATTTTAAAAATTCACTTTGCTCTTAAAGTTACAGACTATCAGAAAATTTGCTCCTTGAAATCCCATCAGTAAAGATAAATCATCCCATGTGTGTTGAGGGTAAGTTTCTCAGACACAAAGAAGTCACTTTGATTTGTAACCCAGGTGCAAAGCTTCAGATAAGGGGTATCTTGAGTGCATTCCTAATGTAGTTTCACTTTGTGTTTCCCAAAGATATAGGAGTTTGGGCTTACTTCCCAGTTCAGACTCGATGAGGATCCTATGTGATGGTCTTGCTTTGCTTGAGCCTAACAAAACACTGAAGCTTTAAAAATTCACCTGGTTGACTTTTCCTTCAAATTGTGATGATCCCATTTCTTTCTTTCTTTGGTGAGATGGCCATGTGTGGTGCTCCCCCTCCCCCAGTTTGGGTTCTCTTTTATTAATAAGTCAAAAGCTTGAGGGGCTGGGAAGGTGGCTCAGTGGTAGAGCGCTTGCCTTGCATGCATGAGGCCTTGGGTTCGATTCCTCAGCACCACATAAGCAGAAAAGGCCGGAAGTGGTTCTGTGGCTCAAGTGGTAGGGCACTAGCCTTGAGCTGAAGAGCTGAGGGACAGCGCCTAGTCCCAGAGTTCAGGCCCCATGGACCGAAAGAAAAAAAAAAGCTTGATTATGTTGGATTACAGATTTGCCTCTGGTGTCTTTAAAATAAATGGCTAGGATAGGTTTTGTGTACTTGACCACTAAGCTTTCCCAAAATAGGCAGCAGATAGAATTAGAGTAGATGGGATCTGGTTAGATTACCTGGATTGATTATATGGATTCCAGTCTCAGTTCTGCCTGTAACTTTAATTAGCTGGATCATCTTAAATTCAAGATTTCCCACTTGGTATGTTTCTCTTGCTTAAAATGGGAGATGGGGCTGTTTCCTTTAATCCTAGAGCAGGGTTTTGGAGTGAGAAAGATATTGGTTGGAATCTACCACTTATTAATCTGTAACTTTTGCTTTTCTGAGCCTTTGTTTTGTAATGATTAAAGTAGAGATAATACTGAGAACTGAATTACAGGTTTTCCTGTGTCGACCAAGTTGATTGCTGCCAGCCTTACTATATTGATTTGCTATTTTGATTCCAACTATTATGTGAGATCAGAAGAGGTTCTTAGCTCTTCTGTACCTATGTATTCCTGAGCAAAAAAAATGGAGAAATAACGTACATTTCACCAGGGCTTATGGTGAGCATTAAGTGAGACTTTCTTTTTAAAGGGGGAGTTTAGAGTTTAGAGAAGTGGAGCTGTGGCTCAAGTGGTAGAGCACTGACCATGAGCAAAAAAGCGGAGGGATGGTGTCCAGGCCCTGAGTTCAAGCCCAGGGCCAGCACAATAAAGGGAAGCTTTAAAGCTATGCTTGACATAAAAATAAAAGGCTCAAAGTATGTACTGTAATTGTATTAGTATTAATTTCTATTACATACGATTCTAAGTGTCAGAGGCTCAGGATAAAGATTTTCATTGTAATGATAAAACCAAAACAAAGGTACTGAAAGGCTGGAAACAATGAAACCAAATGGGGGAACTGCTTTCCAAATACAATTGACACGCCCCGCGCTGGGCTAGGACCCGCCCAGTGCTCATTAAATATGGCAGCCAGCTGGGCTGCCCTACTGCGGTTGCGCACGTTAAAACTCCTCCTAGCAGCTCCTCCTTCGCCGCCGTTCCCCAGCCCGCCCCCCTCCGCCGTCGCCTCGCCTTTCCCGCTCCCTCCCCGCCAGCGGGGCGGAGGTGCCTTGTGAGGGCCTTGCATGGCGCGCATGCTCAGACACTGGCAGGGCTGAGCTGATTCTTGTGAGGCGCCTGTCACATGAGCCTCGCGCCAGCCCCACTCCCCCTCCTCCGCGACTGGGTTGTGTGAATGAAGCTCTGCCGGCTACGTGGGGCGCTAACTCAACTTGGTGTCTCGGACGCCAGAGCCGATCGAGCGCGCCTGCCCACCGGCGGGTGGACACGGGTTCCACAGCTCCTGACCTCGGTGACAGGTAATGGGTTGTCCCTTCCCCAACAGGTCCTTTGAGGGCCCACTGCCCCCCTGGCCCCCGCCCCTCCCCGGGAGCACCGTGGAAACACCGCGATTATGGGGAAACATCTCCCCTACTGGCTTGGCTCCCTCAAGGAGATGGGGGTTCTCCCCCCTCCTTGTCTGGCTGCCACTGCCTGGCACTCGGAGGAGGTAGACTGGCTCGTTCTAGCCGGTGCGGGGCGGCATCTTCCCCGAGAGCCCAGCCCTGTTTGCTGAGAAGGGTCCTTGGGCTGCCGGAGCAAAGTTTCTTGGCAGAGCAGCGCCAAAGCCGCCCCGCTTTTGAATCGGGGAGGTTCGCAGCCAGCGGCGTCCGCTTTCCAGGACAGGGCTAGGGTAGCATTGGCTAGTGGAGCTAAGCAGAGGCCCGGTTCTTGTCTGCCCTGGATTTACCGCACCGTTTCTGTGGTTCTTCGCAAAGTCAAACCCTTGACTCTCGGAAAAAGTAGTGGCTGGCGCGTTTTGCTTTGGCCACTAACGCGCCTAGTTGGTTCTCTCCAGACTTTTACAACCTTGTGTTTTGGAACCCCCTTTCACCACTAAGCTTTACCTTTTACTTTCATACGCGTTTAACCTTCGTTAATATTTCAGAGCAAATCAATTGCCCGGAGTTCCAGGTGAAGTTGTGTGCCTGCCCTGGTGATAACGTCAGTGGAAGCTATCCAGAGTAAATGAGGGAAATTCAGAAATTGGAGCATTAAAAGCCAGTAAGCGATCGCTGTATATGAATTTCACATATTTATTAACAAACTCTCTGGGTAGAACTTCAGAAATGTTATATTTCTCCTAGTCCCAGGAGCCAGACATCAGTACTTGTCAATTGCAATCGAAATAAAAGAAGGGGGAAAAGTAAACCAAAACAAACTGTGGCTAGTTTCTGATAAGTAATCAGAACGCTTTTCCCTGGTGAATTCAGCATGGGAGTTTCTTTTTTCCTTCTTTGCGCGCGCGCCTGTGTGTGTGTGTGTGTGTGTGTGTGTGTGTGTATCTGTATCTATATCTGTATCTATATGTGTACTAGGGCTTGAATTTAACTGGACTTGAGCGCTGTCCTTTACCTTTTTCCTCCCAGGGCTGGAGCTCTACAGTGTGAGTCACGGGTGACTTTTTTATATAATTAATTGGAAATAAGAATCTCATCAATTTTTCTACTCTGGCTAGCTTTGAACTCCCTTTCTCAGAACTGAGCCTTCTGAGTGGTAGGATTACAGGCATGAGCCACCACTGAAGGGCTTGGGAGATTTTTAAAATTTATAGTTTTCTCAGATTTTTGAACTTTCCCTTATCCAAAAGCACCGGCATTTTTCCTATTGGCATTTTGGGGACTGGTGTGCACATGAACTATTTTTTGTCTTTTAGAGGAAAATGGCTATTAAAAAGAGCCAACATGATTCTCAAGTTAGTATTAGCCTTCAGCCTTTAGGCTTTAGCTTTTTACACATTAGAGGTAGAGGAGCGGATTGTATATTGTATAAAATCTATGGAAATAGCAGCCTATTTTGCTGTTTACCAAGTCAGACAAGTGAGGACCTTTTTTGAGGAAAACAAAACAACAGATTGGCTTGCTAACTTTTTCCCCTCCTTTCTGGGGAATAGTTGGCCATAGAGAAATTAAGACTCATTACTAAAAGGCCCTGCCCCATATCTTGTGTGTGTGTGTGTGTGTGTGTGTGTGTGTGTGTGTGTGTGTGTGTGTGTGTGAGTGTGAATAATGCTATGATGGAGGAAAATCTGAACAGACCCTGAGTGGTTTAGTAGCCTTAGATCCCATCCTTTCGATCCAATCATATTTTCATATGGCTGACTCTGCTTCACTAAGAGTAAAGCTAAAAATGGTGAGTTCATCCTGGCTTTGTGGGGCTTTGTTCTGAAGGCTCTTGAGCTACATAAATAAATTTGTTATGTTTTTCTCGTTGAAAAAATTAATACATTTAGGAAATGAAGGTGTGGCTCAAGTGATAGAGCACTAGCTTTGAGCAGAAAAAGCCAAACAAGAGTGTGCAAGGCCATGAGGTTGAGCCCCAGAATTATCTCTCACACACAAAAAGTCAATACATTTAAATAAAAAAAAAAGAAAAACAGACTGGACTTAGCCTGTAAAAAAGACCAAATTATTAAATGATTAATATTGATTCATTGAACCAAGTGTAATGTATTAAACTTCCAAATAAGACTAAGTACAGTTGTCACACTTCATTTTTTTGCTCCTATTCCTAGTTTCTTTCAACCTATTGCAAATAGTATTATCCTAAGACAGGATGTGAAGTTAAAAAAATGGGAATTACCGGAATCAATGTGATTTTTCTTAAATGGGCATTCCACCTTTACAGTTTTCTTTTTCCTTGGTCCATTTCCCCCTTTTTTATAAAAACAATATATGCTCACTCTAGGAAATCTGCAACTTGGAGGATAGTATATTGAAGTATAGAGGATGAAACACCACCTCCAGGGCATATGTCATCATTTTTCACTTTTAAAAATTGTCATCCTTCCTTTCTTTTTATTTTCCTATGCAACATCTATTTTAAGACTTTATCCACAAAAAATGTTGCTGTCTTTTTCCCTATTTTGTAATGTGAAGTTGGCTGACTTACCGATTGAGGAAGAGATTGGCTATTAATGCTGCACTTGGTTCTCCAGATCATAGAACCTTGAGATAGGAAAGATACCACCGTCAGCTCATTGGACCACTCAGCCTTAAAATTCTCAACCCCATTTACTGAAGCACCAGTGATTCCCACAGAATCTCACAGAACGGCGTGGCAGCATTAACTAATGATAGAGCTCTGAGTCTCTTTCTTCACCAATACCTTGCTGCTTAGAGGGGAAACTTGAAACTGTTCATGTCTGCCTATCTCCAAAAGAAGGGTTCAAAGAGGGACAGGGAATAATTTTCAAACATTTAATTTTTTTTCTTTTTAGATATTTCTTTTTCTGTTTAAATTTTCAGGTTTGGGGCCCTGGTGTCTTGCAGAACATAGGACCACACAGCTGTGTTTCCATCCACACACCATTGTCTTGGGGAGGTGGGGAGCTCCAGGAAGCATTGAACCAGTGACCCCAGCACAGGAGAAGATAAGTTCAAGATGGCCATGTGGCAGGGTAAGAATTAGCACTTATTCCTCTAGCTGGTTTTTCCTTTTATTCTGTCCTCCATCCCCACCCAACCCCCCAAGCCAGTGGCAGGCAGCCAGCTGTTTCTTTAATTTAACCCTTTGTCTTTGTAAAGACAAAGAACATTAGTTTAAAAGAAGCTACTGCTAGCTAGAAGTTCAATCTTTTTTCTAGTGGAGGTTAGCAAGGAATTAAAGAAAATGACATGCCAGAAGCATGTAAAAGGATTTCCTTCATTTAAACTTGTGCTTGCTGGGGGTCGGGAAGGTAGATGCGGAATAAGGAGATTTTTTCTATTTGTATTTTTCATATGTTTTCCAACAAATTTGTGTCATAAGATTCTTAAAGGTGGGAGTGACAGATGTTGGTGCCTTGGTGGCTTCCCAAAGAAGACTACCTTGGGGTTTAGACAGTTTGAAAAAGCACATTTAATGTTCTAATGTTTATATTTGGTGACAGAGGGAAAATGTGTATTTTAACAATACAAACTACTTGAGAGCCAAGCTTACCAGTGTCTTGGCATCTCTTGTAAATCTGTGAATTTCTAGCACATGCAAACTTATTTTTTTAGAGGGGTTGAGGATCAACTCTTTCAAGAGACTATCAGAATCTTGAGGAGTGCATGGGATTTTTATGTTCAGCACATGGGAAAGTGGGCTTAAGAAATGTAGACAAATACTACTGAAACTGGTTTGTGACTCACAAAAGGTTAAAGGCTGCTTGAATGGAGTAGAGTGAAATAGCTTGGATATCTATAAATATTCAACAACTGGGTTTGGTGTTGGTCTAATGTATCTTTTAAAAATGTTTGATTGTGCATGTTATAGTTTAAAAAATGTAAGTACACAAATATAACAGTTATGATGTATAGGGATTGACAATTTAAAGACATTTGTTGAAATGAGATTTGGCTTGTATATCAGCTTTAATGACCATGATAGGCATTTATTAAGAGAAGTTTAAGCTGTTTCCTTGTAATCCTAGTTACTTAGGAGGCTGAGATCCTGAAGATCCTGGTTCGAAGCCAGCCCATGTAGACAAATCTGAGAGATTCCTATTTCCAATTAGCCACTAAAAAGCTGTTACTAAAAAGTATAGTTCAGGACTGGAATATGGCTTAGTGGTAGAGTGCTTGCCTAGCATACATGAAGCCCTGGGTTGGATTCCTCAGTACCACATAAACAGAAAAAGCCAGAAATGGCTCTGTGGCTCAAGCAGTAGAGTGTTATCCTTGAGCAAAAGAAGCTCAGGGACAGTGCCCAGGCCCTGAGTTCAAGCCCCAGGACTGGCAAAAACAGTGTAGTTCAAGTGGCAGAGTGCCAGCCTTGGGGGAAAAAAAAGCCAAGCAAGAGCACAAGGTCCTGAATTCAAGCCCTAGTACTGACCAAAAAAAGAGAAAGAGAAGTTTAGATATTCTCACATAAATCCTGAGACATTCTTTCACTCAATAAACAGTATACAGAGATATGAATAAGAAGCAGGACCTTGGAGGGTTCCTTATTGTCTGGGAAAGGCAGACATAGGAATAAACAATTGTGTAGCATTGGATAAGTTTTACAATAGGGAGATGGAAGTCTAGAAAAAAGCATGATGAACTTCAAGTTCTGAGCTGATCTGAAAATAAATGAGTAGCTAAGTGTGGCAGTTTATGTCTACAGCCCTAGCACCAGGGGCTTCACAGGAGGCTAGAAAGTTTGAGAGTAGCCTAGTGAATTCCAGGCTAGCCTGAGCTAGATAGGCAGATCCTGTTAAAAAGAAAAGACAGAGAGGGAGAGAGAGAAGGGAGAGTGGGGTAATGAAGAGATAAAGACAGAGAGACAGAGCGTGAAAGAGCAAGAGAGAGCAAGAGAGAGCAAGAGAGAGCTAGAGAGCGAAAGAGCGAGTGTGTGAGAGAGAGAGAGCGAGAGAGAGCGAGAGAGAGAGAGAGAGAGAGAGAGATAGAGAGAGAGAGAGAGAGAGAGAGAGATTGACCAGATGGGCAAATGAGAGTGTTGCATTCTGGGCAGACAGAGCAGCACTGTTTGGGAACTTCCAAGTTGCTTTGTTTGCCTTGTGTGAAATGTATGGGGGCATGACCTCAGATGAAGCAAGGAAGGTAGTCAGAGACCAGAAAAGAAAGAACCTGTATGTTCTAGGAAGGATTTTATACTTTATACTGGAGACAAAGATTCTAAACAAGGAAGTCACACAAGGCAGATTTCGTTTTTTAGAAAGATTACTTTGGCAGCAGGGCTGACTGTGGTGTTGGAGTTGGAGACAATGAAAGCCTGGATTCATTCAGGAGGTGTCTGGAATCGTGGTTTCAGGGTGAGATGACAAGGATCTGAAAAGAAGCTGGGGCAATGAGGTTAGAGAGAATGAGGTGAGCTCTAGAAGGGTCTGTGACTGCTATGATTGATAGCCAATTTAGGCCTGGGGGCTAGTAGTATCATTCTCTGGGATGGGGAGTATCATGATAGAAGCTAGTGTTCTGTGCTTTGCTTTGACTAGCTAAAGTTGAGATGCCTTTGGGCTGTAGGGTCGATATTTCAAAGGCAAATTTGAAATATGGAACTGGAGTTTGTGCAGGTGGGGATCTAAAGATTTGTTCCTAAAAATGACTAAATAGCTGGCTTTATTTTTCTCTGTATTATGTGTAAATGTCATTAGTCATTAATGATTTACTTATTTTATAATAAAAACATTTTAATATTCAACAATTCCTTTTTTTTTTAGCTGGTTCTGGGGCTTGAACTCTGGGCCTAGGCACTATCCCTCAGTTTTTGTGCTCAAGGTTTAGTGGTCTATCACGTGAACCACAGTTCTGCTTCTGGCTTTTTAGTGATTAATTAGAAATAAGATTCTCACAAAAGCCGAGCTGTAATTAAACCTGTAATCCTAGCTATTCAGAAGGCTGAGATCAGGCTGGGAAGGTGGCTCAGTGGTAGAGCGCCTGCCTTGCATGCATGAGGCCCTGGGTTCGATTCCCCAGCACCACATAAGCAAAAAGAAAAAAAAGCCAGAAGTGGCTCTGTGGCTCAAGTGGTAGAGCACTAGCCTTGAGCTGAAGAGCTGAGGGACAGCGCCCAGGCCCAGAGTTCAGGCCCCACGACTGGACCTAAAAAAAGAAAGAAAAAAGCCAGAAGTGGTGCTGTGGCTCAAGTGGTAGAGCGCTAGCCTTGAGCTGAAGAGTTGAGGGCCAGCGCCCAGGCCCAGAGTTCAGGCCCCATGACTGGACACCCCCCCCCCCCAAAAAAAAAAGAAAATAAAGACTTGGAGAAAATTTATTTAGAAAAAAAAAGAAGGCTGAGATCTGAGGATCATGGTTCAAAGCCAGCCTGGGAAGTCAAGACCATGAGACTCTTATCTCCAATAAAAACCACTAGAAAACTGGAAGTGGTGCTGTGCCCAGGCCCAGAGTTCAAGCCTCATGACCGACAAAAAAAAAAAAAAAGATTCTCACAGACTTTCCTGCTCTGGCTGGTTTGAACCGCAGTCATCAGGTCTCAGCTTCCTGAGTAGCTAAGATTATAGGTGTGAGCTACTGGCGCCTGACTTGTTCAACAATTTTTTTTTTATATATTTTTTTAAAATTTTATTTTATTTTATTTGAGTGTTCAACAATTCTTAATAAAAGTTTAACAACATTTTCCTAATTAATAATATATGTTTTTTGCGTACCACTCATGGGGCTTGAACTCAAGGCCTGAGTGCTGTCCCTGAGCTTCTTTTGCTCAAGGCTAACATTCTACCACTTGATCCTAAGCTCCAATTCCAGCTTTTTGGTAGTTCATTGGAGATAAGAGTCTCACAGACTTTCCTGCCTGGGCTGGCTTTGAACTGCAATGTTTAGATCTCAGCCTCCTGAGAAGCTGGAATTACCTGTGTGAGCCACCGGTGCCTGGCTTAAATAAAATATCTTATATGTTCAAGTTGAAATCTGATTTGCTTCAAATTAGACTGAAGTAAAACCTCAGATTTTGAACATTAGTGGAGATGGAAATGCTCTCACACAAGTAAGCTCTTTGAGTTACTACAGCTTATCTGCTGTTTTGGCCAGCTTTTGAAGGGAAAGCATAGTGTGATGATAGTTTGGAAGGTAGTAGGGTCTAATTATTAGACCACAGTTTTAGACTCTAATAGTTAGCAATGTGGGTGTGAATCCAACTCTGATGATGGTTTTGTTACTTGGTAGCTGGGAGGGAGGCTTTGAGTAAGTCACAAATCCTTAGTGTCTCAGTTTATAAAATGGGGATAATAATAGAACTTATAGGATTCTTGTGGAGATTAAGTTAATATATACAAAGCACTTGGAACAAAGTACTATAAAATGGATGCTTTTACTATAACTAGAACATATTTTGAATAGTGTTTAGTGTGTAAAAATGCTCAGTAAACTTTAGTGATCACGGTTATTCCCACTATTCCTACCCTTCAGCCTGGGTAGGAATCTCAGGTTGTCCCGGAAGCCCTGCCCTATGGTAGTCTGTTTGGGTTTTCAAGTAGAAGTTTAGCTCTGAAGAGATACATCTAGCTCAACCCTAGAGTTTAAGTAGTATGTCCAAGGTTGGTCAGATAGGTAGTCATGGACTAAAACCTAGGTGACAGGACTAAGCCCAGGATTCCTGATTCTCTATTCTACTGTTCTTTCTATTGGTTCATGGAAAAAGGAATGTGTAGTCTGTTCTCAGCTAGAGGAAGCTTCTGAACCAGGCTTTGGAGGCATTAGTTGAGAAATTATAAAAGCTAAAGGAATCCAAATCTTTCTAGTTTCTTCGGTCTTTGCTGTTTTGTTCCTTCATGGAGAATTTGGTCATATACCTCTTCAACAGGGGAAATGTTATTTATTTTGATTTGACTCGATGGACATCTCTCATATATTTTCTGGCCATCATAAATTGAGTGTATAGGGCACATTTTAATAGTTTTTGGTGGTATTGGGGTTTAAACTCAGGGCTTTGCATTTGATAGGCAAGTGTTTAGCTTTAATTATTTTTCAAATTGGATCT